CTAATAATTGCTTATTTTTTAAAAAAATAATTAAAAATTTTCTTTTAATTTGGAATGTGTAGTGAGACAATTTTACCATCAAAACATTAATGTGAATTTCAGAAAGCTAAATAGCAAAAAGCATTTCTGCGCTGTCCAATGGTGATTGATTTACAGCATGGATAAATGTAAACTGCTTATGGGTAAGATGATTTTATTCATCAGTATTTTGAAATGGGTTTCTGTGTGGAAGGCAGAACTGGGTCAGTTTCACTGGAGTTGAATAATATCTATATATAGTGATTCAGCCTCAATCCAGTGAGCTGATTTAAAACCAGAACTTACTCAGATTCATAACACTTCCAAAATATTGTGGGTAGAACAGGATGGGTCACTCCTACTGCATGGGATTTTAATACTTGGTCAGTCTCCTGATTACAGTTGCTACGTTTAACTGTCTTTTTGCCACTGAGTTTATGTAATTCTTCTGATTTCTTGTGTATGTTTTTTTAAAAATAAAGCTAGATCTGTTAAACTAAGTCATTGCATAACATGGATGTTGTTTGGTTTAATACATGTAACAATGGTAAATCTTCTGGAGTAAAGTAGGGCCTGAAAGTCCACTTACTGAATATCTTTATGAGACATTTTCCTCTGATCAATTTTAATATGTATATATATATGTACAATGGGAGTCTTGAGATACTTTTTCTGCTTTGTAAATTTTTTTCTAATTTTTTGGATTAGTTTTAAGAATGTTTTCTAATGGAGTGTTGTCACTATATATATATGCATATACAACATGTATAGACATCCGGTGCTTGATGTGGTTGCATGTTGAGCATGTGACAGGCACTTACTAGGAGGGGCTACAGTATGTGTGGTTTCTATCTGGCTTTGTCTTGGCCATGTGACCTGCCCTGTTAAAAGGGTTCAAATCTGTGCAGAGGAAAACTTCATGCTACCAGTGTGTTTAATTCCTTTTTCAGTGGGATTTTCTAGATGTAGAACAGCTGGTTTGCTGTTTCAGTTTCCAAGTGGGATGTAGAGATATTTTATCAAAGCAATACAATGTACAGGTAGAGACTGCACACTTTCAGGTCTGCTTTCATACATTCATGACATTTGTATTTCTTTGTACTTTGAGAAACTGATGCCAAAGTTACTAGGAGCACAGTAACTGCTGCTGTGGAAGAGCATTTTTAAAGCGCTTGTCTGTTAGTACACACAGCAATCATGAATAGATGGAAGTGAAATAATTGTCATTTATCAGTTAGGTCATAATTCAGTAAACAAATCTGTAAAATCTATTAAAAACTTCAAAAGATTTCATAAAGACTTATGTAGTTATTTTGGAATTAGTTTGCTGTAGAAAGTACTGGTAGGAAATACTGAATACTTGGGATGCATAGAAATGTTCAGGTGAGCATATACTTGCATTTGTTTTCTATTATGAGAATAAACACATGAAGACAACTAATGTAAAAGCTAGCTGATAGATGCAGAAATGTACACCTGTCCACTAGGAACAGTTTGATTCACTTCATAGGTCTGCTACAGGTAAGAAACTGCAAACAAAAATGTCACTGCACTGAAAGTTTTGTAAAAATACATTCATTACCAACTTTGATAGGAAGCACAGTCAATGAAAACTGTTGAGGAAAAGAGGAGAAAATGACATAGAGCTGTGGATTGTTTTTTAAAGATTTCTTTTTAGGTACTTTTTAGAGGCAAGGTTCAGTCCGTTAAATGGAATTAAAGAGAAGCTATAGGACCAGTCTTTAGAAAAATCTAAAACAGCTTTGCCTTCCTCTTTCTCCCCCAACTTTATTTTTAGGTTACTTATCCCTGTGCTGTGCAAGTACTTTATGTTAATTACAGTAAATACTCAAGATCATTGCATTTGAGTCCTCCTCTACTCCACACTCATATTAATCTATTTAATATGTCATAGAACAGTAAGGTTAAATAAATGCTTTCTGCACTTCAGCAATGTTCTAATAGTCATCATACTTCTGGGTCTGTTGGGATGAAAGTGGTTGCCCACACATGAGTCTTAGTCCTGTGGTTGACATTCTCATCATACTGTAGGAATGCAGTTGTCATTGGTTTCTTACACTGGTATCTATCACCATAGCATGTGGGTGTCTGAAATTATGATCTCAGAGTGATGCAGGTCTTCGGGTAGTGTGCCAGCCTCATGGTGGTCTTGGAAACGTAAGACAAGCTTTGAGCCACGTTACATATTGCTAACTATGATTTATAGGCTTAGTTATGGACATTCAGTGCAAGAAGTAGAATACTATGGTAACTGCTGAGTAAGAGAGATTTTTCACATTGGAAACCACTTTTTTTCTTACTTAATGTAGGTGACTTCATGTCTAAGTTAGGCTTTGCTGTTGCAGAGTGCTTACTCTCTAAATGCAACAATCATTGTTAAAGTCTCTTTTCATGCTGAATTACAGGGATTGTTGCTATAATTATATCATGTGCTCTGCAACTGTGTTTGGTAGAGTCCAGTCTTCTATTAAAAAGAAAAACCACAATCCAGGAGTTTATCAACAGCACTTACACATTTATTGTGTTTAATTCTCTATGTGTTTGTCTTTCAGTGTATTCTGTTATGCTTTTACAGAGTGTGGTGTTTGTAGAGAAGGAGGGATACCTTCTGAAGCAATTAATCTACTAATGGAGTTGCTTAAATTGTTCAGTTCAATCATTCTCTAGCATGCCTCTTTCTTTCTCCATGGAATGAGTTTGGGTGACTATATGAGATCAGACATCTAACTTTTAAATTAGAAAAAGCTAGGTAAGGTCCTTAGTTATTGATACAATGGTAGTTGCCTAGGTAATCCCAGAAAACTTAAATTTGTTTTAAATTTTGCTTATTTTTCTTCCTCTTATTTTACTTCTTCTGTTATAGGTCCTGATGTCTTTACATGAAATGTTCCCAGCGGTGCATGCAGCAGAAATGGCTGTGCAGAGAAACCCACGTTCCTGGGATGCCTGGCAGACTTTGGGACGTGCTCAGCTTGGATTAGGAGAGATAGCACTGGTAGGAAAACAAAATTAATTGTGTGCGAGATAAGGAAAGTATAGAAATATCAAGACACCTGTTTATGCTTATGGCAACCTGAACATAGACAAGCAAAAAGATTGTTGGTGTTTATCTCCTGTATTCCCTCTATTTTATTTTCACAAATGCTGCCTGTGGTTTAGTTGGTGGACTTGTGGAAGACCTGCCTAGCTCAAAGACTTTTGTGCTATATACTATATTTATGTGGCAGCTTTATGCAATAGAAGAACTATGTTGACATAACTGCACATACTACATTCTGGGTACTGTACTGCTACAGTCGAGCTCACCAGAGTTTAAAGATTAAGGTAATGTGAGGTCCTGGTTGATATTCAGGCTCAGTTTTATACATGCCTGCTGATACAAGTCTAGTATCTTGCTTTCCTTGTCTCCTGCTCTCCTGC